CACCCTGTCTGTGGCTGTCACCCCTGTGCAGGCAGTGGTCTTGCTGTACTTCCAGGACCAAGGTGAGCCCACCAGGGCACTGCTCAGTGTCTGGCAGAGGGCGGATGGCCTGGGGCCACCCCTCCCAGGCCCCTTTCTGGGCGGGTCCTGCTGAGCAGGGCTGGCGAGGCCGAGGGAGGCCCTGCCCCGCCCAGCGTGCCCACCCTTACCCGCAGCCAGCTGGACCCTGGAGGAGCTGAGCAAGGCGGTGAAGATGCCCGTGGCACTGCTGCGGCGGCGCATGTCAGTGTGGCTGCAGCAGGGCGTGCTGCGCGAGGAGCCGGCCGGCACCTTCTCGGTGGTGGAGGAAGAGCGGCCTCAGGACCGGGACAACATGGTGCTCATCGACAGCGACGACGAGAGCGACTCGGGCATGGCCTCCCAAGCCGACCAGAAGGAGGAGGAGCTGCTGGTGCGGGGGACGGAGCGTCGGGTGGGACGTGGGGGTGGGGCGTCAGGGAGTGGTGCCGGGGCGCTGAGGTGGCAGCCAACCTGGCCGCTGTACCCCACAGCTCTTCTGGACATATATCCAGGCCATGCTGACCAACCTGGAGAGCCTGTCGCTGGAGCGCATGTACAGCATGCTGCGCATGTTCGTGGTGACTGGCCCCGCGCTGGCCGAGATCGACCTGCCCGAGCTCCAGGCCTTCCTGCAGAAGAAGGTGCGGGACCAGCAGCTTGTCTACTCCGCCGGCGTCTACCGCCTGCCCAAGAACTGCAGCTGACCGTCTCCGCGGGGCCTGCCCTGCCCGGTCCCGCTGGCGGGGGCATCCCTACATCCTGCGCAGCCCCGAGTGCCGAGTAAAGCAGGTGGTTCTTCATCCTTACACTGTCCTGGTGGCTTTGTGGGCCCCTCGTGGGCACGTGACCGAGGTTCTCCCACGTCAAGCTGGCAGAGCCTGCCCCCCCTCCCAGGGGCAGATGAGGGGAGCCGCACACTTGTGTTGGGCTTCCCACTGGGAGTCATGCACGTGGCTTTCCCAGGCCACTCCAGCCAGCCAAGGCGCATGCCGGGCTGGTGGCTCAGGCAGGAGCTTGCTGTGGGTTGGCTGCCTGGGAGACCTTCCTGAGCTGCCCTCCAGAGGGGCCTCCTGCTCCAGCCTCACCCTTCTGACCTTTGAAAGGAGACCTATGCCTGGCCTAAGGGTCTGGTGCCCACTTGCTGGGCTGAGAGCCCCAAGGCTGCTGCTGGGACTCAGCTCCATCACCACGTATGAGGCACCCCCTGGTGAGAACTTCTCATGTCCAGCACCAGGGGCTGCCTGGGACTCACCTTGTGGTGAGAGGGACCAGGCGTTTGTCCACCTGTCCCGCGCTAGTGTCAAGCAGTGGCGGTGCTCAGGGCTTAAAATGAAGTGAGCTTTCAGAAAGGCCAGTTCCTTCCACGCCTCTCAGTGTGGGGCCAGGAAGCACGCCCGGGGCCTCAGTGTTCCCAGCACAAGGTGTCCTGCTGCACAGGCCTGTTGTGTCCAGGGCGCAGGGTCCTGCCAGGCCGGCACTGGGGGCCTGGCACTGCCCTCGCCCTGAGGTCCCAAGAGGTGGGGAAGGTGTTGGCTCTGCGAGGCCTGAGGCCTTCAGAGCTGTGCTGGGTGCCACAGCCTCCGTGGCCAAGACCTTTGCTTGTCTGGCGGGAACCGCTCTGTCCTGGTGGTGCTGTCCCTGCAGGTGACAAAAACTCTTGGAACGAGTGTCTCCACTGTCCTGTTCCTGCCCTCGGTGCGCTGCCAGACCTGAGCCACGCCCGCTGCCCCCAGTCCTCTCCTCCGTGCTCACCCACACCTCTCCGCTTTGGCCTGTTCTGCACAGGGGCCCTTAGTGTCGGTCTGGCTTCTAGGACCTTTCCTTCTTACTCCAGAGAATTCTGCCTGGGGGTGGGGTTGAAGGAGGAAGTGGCAGGGGTTAGGCACGTAGCCTAATCTGAGGACAGGCCGATGGCTCTCTCCCTTGGGGTCCACCTGTCCATCTCTTCTGAGGCAGGCTGTGCCCTGGTTACAAGAAGCGGGGCCTCCTGCCTGTACCGGGCTGAGTGTACTTTTGTCATCCTAAGCAGGTTGCAGACCTGCTGGACTGGCCTAGCAGGGTGGCAGTGCCAGCCCCCGGGCTCCTGGGCCTTTGGACTCAGCTTGCGAGCGAGTGTGGTAAAACCCAGCGTCTCAGGTCACAGCATCACTCAACAGGTGCAGAGGTGTGCCAGGCACTGCCACCAGAAGAGGACACCTGTGTGAAAGTCAGGGAGGTCCCCAGTGGTGAGGACTGGCTGTGGCCCAGCTGTGCCCTCCCCCAACTCCATCCCCTGCGAGGACAAGGCGGGTATTTCCTCCTGCTGCCTAGGCGGTTTGATTGGCATGTCCTTAGGGACAAGGGAGGAGGCCTCAAAGGGGAGGAGGCAGGGAGGAGCTAGGTTAACCCCAACCATGCCAGCCCGTGGCGACTCTGGGCACCACTTGCCTGGTCAGGGGAAGTGGCACAAGAAACAGACCTCCGAGGGGCAGTGGGCTCTCCCTGTGAAGACACACTTGAGCCAGAGCCTCAGTTGCTGGCTGCAACCATTTCTGAGCCACCTGCTCCTACAGGGTGTTCTGGAAACGTCGCTGGGACCAGCATGGGGGCAGCGGGTGCAGGCCCGCCCCGGGCCCCTCCAGGGCCCCTCAGCCCCTGCTTGTCCAGCCTTCGGGGATGGGTGGTGACAACAGATAGCAGGACCCCAGGCCCTGCCTCAGCTGCTGCAGCCCTTATTCTGACAGGGAAACTAAGGCCTGGGGTTGCCCACTGTGGACCTCTCTGGGTTTCCAGGCCACTTCCTCCATGAGCCTGGGGGCCTAAGTGCAGGCCCTGCCCCTTCACCACAAAGCGCCTTCTCCTGGAGGCCAGGGCAGCCCTCCAGAGTGACGCCCTATCCACCCTACCTGCCCTACCCCGGGGCTGCCTGCCCAGGGCTCCTAGGCCTAAGGGCATTGAGGCACCAGATGAGGCCCTGCCCCCACCCTCCCTGCCTCACAGCTCCACTGTGAGGTCAGCGCCTTCCGACAAGTTCCGTCCAGAGGTATGGCCTGGGGCCGGGGGCTGGACATGGCCCCCTGTCCCCAGCCTGACTCCTGCCTGGTCGGCAACCCCCTCGGCCTGATATGTTTGTCCCTTTTGCTCATCCCTGCTGCAGGTGCCTCCTCATGTCCCCAAGCCCTGCCCCCCACCCCCAGCCAGGGCCTCTCCTATGTCCTGGTGGCCGGCAGGGTGGGGGGTGGCCTCAGGAGTCAGCCACTGGCAGGTGACTACGGCCCCTTGGCCATGTGGACCCTGTCTCTGCAGCTGGAACCTACTGTGAGTGCAGCCTTGGCCTCAGCCGAGAGGCCCTCATTGCCCTGCTGGTGGTGCTGGCAGGTGTCAGTGCCAGCTGCTTCTGTGCCCTGGTCATCGTGGCAGTTGGCGTCATTCGAGCCAAGGGGTGCGTGAGCCCCAGGGCCAGGGCGGGTGGGTGAGGGCCGCAGGGCCATGCTGCCCACGCTGGGCCCTTGGTCTGGCCGGGAGAGGGCCCTCCCCTGGGTTGGGTCACCAGGGGCTTGGGAACGGCATTTCCCAGACTGTGGGTTGGGGAGAGAGGTGGGGTGCGCTGCTGGGCTCCTGGGGACCAACTCCACTGTTCTGGGATTCACACCTTACCTTTTTCCCCCAGTGAAACATGCCCTGGACACGTGGACAGCCGGTGAGTGACCCTAGGGGAGGATCCAAGGGCAAGTTGTACCCCTGCCCCGAGGTGGTGTGGTTCACAGAAGTGTCAGGTGCCCTGGGTGGTCGAGGCCTTGTGAGCCCACACTGATGGCTACTAGCAGCTGGCCTGACCTGGACCATGTTGTGCAGGTTGGTGGGGCACTTTGGGGTCCAGGAAGATCACATGGACCTGCACACGGTGCACGTGGAGTCCCACCTCATGGACCCTGAACTTGGGGTCCCCATGATGCCACCCCTGGAAGATCAAGGCCTCATGACCATCGCCGTAGACTCGATGGCCCCCTCCATGACCCTAGAGGATTCACCCCCCCACAACCCCCGCCACCTGAGTAGGGCTTCAGGCAGCTGGGGGATGGGAAATTAAATGATATTTAATGATTCTGTGCTGTCCTCCCTGCGCCTGTGCAGATGCATCCTGTGGTGGGGGAGGGGGCTGCGCACCCCTGGGTCATCTCCTGGGTCTTCAGTGGGGGTGCCCAGTGCTTATGCTGGGCCCCTGCTGTCCACCCTCCAGGGCCAGGAGTCGCACCCTGTGTTTCAATTTCCTCCTGTTCTGTTGTGCCCAGCTCCTCTCTGCATCTTCCTGCTGCTTTGTGCCATGAAGTTGGCAGGCTCCCTGGGTCCCTGTCCACCCCACCCCCACTCTCACCCCAGCAAAGTGCCACGACAGTACCTGCAGCTCTGCTGACTCCAGAGGGAGAAGCATCTGACAGAAGGACTTGGAAGCTGGTGCCCCATCCCACCTGTGCCATCTCCTTGAAGTTCTGGGAGAGCCCTTGGAGGGCGGAGTGGGGCCAATGTGACTCTATCTCCCCTTTCTCAGGTGTGCAGTCCCCCTCCACCCACAGCCTATCCCCTGGGCTCAGGCCCCCATCCTGTGCTAGTGCCTGAACAATCCCCACCACGGGCACCGGACCACCCCTAGGCGGGGGCTACTTGGTGGGAGCTACTGGCTAGAATCACTTTGCTAAGCTGGAGACAGGCAGAGTTGGGGTGAGGAGCAGGGTGCACTGTGTTCCATTCTGCAGTCGCATCCATGAGTTTGTTGGGAGGTGAGGGGCAGGGGCTGGTGTGGTCCAGTTGCTCAGGCCTCACCTGGGCACTGGGTGGTGGACCAAGCAGGTGAGGAGGGGTGTGGAGGCTAGTCATGCTGCTGCTGGCACGGAGCCAAGAGGAGCCTGGCGCTTTGGGACAGGTGGCTGGCAGTGCCGGGTGCTGGCTAGGTGCCCAGCCTCCGCCCTAGGCGTGAGACCAGTCGTGGGACAGGAACTGAGGGTGCTCCGGTTGGAGAGTTAACATTTGTGCGAACGCCGCCGGGACGAACGGTCTCTGGGGACACGCAGGCAACTGGCCTCCAACTGTTGCCCCCATGCGGAGACCCTCCTTTCTCTCGCAGCGGCCGCTATTGCTGCTGCTGCTGTCGCCGTGGCCAGTCTGGACCCAGACGCCTGCCGCGGCCGCCCACTGGGGAACTCAGGGCGCCCCTCACTGCCCCGAGGCGTGCGCGTGCGCGCCAGACGGCCAGGCCAACTGTTCGGGGCGAGCGCTGCTCGCCGTGCCAGCGGGCCTGAGCCGGCCGGTGCGCGCGTTGCTGCTGGACCACAACCGCGTGCGCGTGCTGCCGCCTGGCGCCTTCGTGGGCGCTGGCGCGCTGCTACGCCTGGACCTGCGAGAGAACGGACTGCGCTGGGTGCACGCGCGGGCTTTTTGGGGCCTGGGCGCGCTTCAGGAGCTCGACCTCGGCGCCAATCAGCTGGAGACGCTGGTGCCCGGCACCTTCGCGCCACTGCGCGCGCTGCGCGTCCTCTCGCTGGCGGACAACCAGCTGGCGCGCCTGGAGCCCGCGGCTCTAGGCGCGCTCCCGCTGCTGGGCGCGCTCAGCCTGCAGGATAACGATTTGTCTGCGCTCGCGCCCGGCCTGCTGGCCGGCCTGCCCGCTCTCAACACGCTGGGCCTGCGCGGCAACCCCTGGGCCTGCGGCTGCGCGCTGCGCCCGCTCTGCGCCTGGCTGCGCAGGCACCCGCGCCCCGCGCCAGGTGAGCCCTTGGGGGCGAACGCGGGCCGGCGCGGGCCGGGGCGGGCCACTGCGCGGCCGCCGCCTGACTCCGCGCCTGTGTCCCGCAGAGGCCGAGACGCTGCTCTGCGTGTCGCCCGGGCGACTGACGCTCAGCCCCTTGACCGCCTTCTCCGAAGCCGCCTTCAGCCACTGCGGGCAGCCCCTTGCCCCGCGGGACCTGGCCGTGGTCTACGCGCTCGGGCCCGTCTCCTTCCTCGCCAGCCTAGCTGCCTGCATGGCTCTGGGCTCCGTGTTCACCGCCTGCCGCGCGCGCCGCCGGCGCCGCGCCGCCGCCGCCCGCCTCCGGCCGAGGAGACTGCCGGATCCCGGTCGCGGCCCGGCCTCGCCTGCGGACCCTGGGAGCACGGAGAACGCCGCCGCCCAAGCCTGAGAAGGCCGCGGCTGCCCTCGAATCCTTCCCTACCCCGTGTCCTCCTCCACACTCCCTGCAGGCATCAACAAGCGACAGAGATCGAAATTTTCGTGACATTCCTTTAGGCATCACCACTGCACACACCGGGTCGGGGCGGGGGTGGGCGGTGCGCGCCCGGCCCCTGGGGCAGAGGGGTGGCCCGCGGCTGCACACAGGCTGCTGGGGGAAGGCACGCGCCGGGACACGGGAGGGGCTGGGCCTGTACAAGGTGGGGCGCAGGGCTGAGGACAGTCCTGCGCCAGCGTCTGGGGAAGCCCATCCTGGGCTGCAGGCCAGAGGAAGCAAAGAGAAGGCTCAGCCCTTGCAGAGTCCAGAGAAGGTGGGAGGCAATGGGGAGCTGGAGCACCCCCTGGGAGGCGGCTGCCAGCTGGGGGGGAGGTCAGGGTCTGCAGAAGGGGAAAGGCAGGGCAAGCTCGGAGGATGGGGTCAGGCGGAGGAGGGGCGTGAGCAAGAAGAGGAGAGGTGGAGCGAGGCGGTGAGGTGCGGGCGCTGTGGGAGGGGGTGGCCAAGGGCCCCCACTGTGGCTCTGGTGGTGGCTGGGGGAAGGATGGGGCTTCAGTCTCTGCTCCAAGCCCCTCCGCCTGGGGCCAAGTCAGCCCCTCTCCCCACTGCTCAGAGACCCCAGGGCCCTGCCTCTGCCGGAGTGCCCTGTGGCCCTGCCCAGCCCGCTCAGCTCTGGCCCGTCCTCAGCCGCTCTGGTCCGTGCCTCAGTCCAGTAGGGGCTGCCGGCCAGCAGCAGGGCAGATGTAGGGACGGGAGGCCCAGGGTGGGCAGTCTCTGGCGGGTGGGCTTCCCTCGGGCCTTCCCGAGCTGCAGGACCCATCAGTGTCCTTGGCCGGGCTAACTGGGCAGGTGGGCGCCTCCGGGGGCCTTACACCACGGTGCTGACCGAGGGATCTGAGAGGTTGAGCGGGCCCGTGATATCAGTGGGATGGTACTGCTGCAAAATAGAAATACACAGACAAGGCGCCCATTAGCCCGACGCTCGGGGGCACGCGCGGGGCCGGGACGGGTGGACCGGCCAGCCGGCCGACCAGCAGGCAGGCGGGCGCAGCCTGGGGGAGGCTGGGGGGGCGCTCCTCCCCTGACCCCGTCGTGCTCCGGGACTCTGCGTGGGCCGGGCCGCTGTCCCGTCCGTCTGTCTGTCTGTCTGCGGGGGAGGGGGGCAGAGGAGGGCGGGCAGGGCGTCTCAGCTCTCCCTATGACGGGCACACATCTGCAGCTGGCCCTCCTCCCTCTCAATAGCGCGTCGCGGCAGCACTGTGTCTTTTTGGTTTTGCAAAGCGCCGCGTCCACCCCCGGTGCTCTATAAATAAGAACCAACAATCAATACCCGCTAACCCCGCCGGCCGCCAGGGACCCCAGCCCTGAGCGCCCAGTGCCGCCCTGGCCCGGACCGGCCACAGGACAGGGGCAGAGGATCTCAGCAGCCGGACTGACCCCACCCCTCCCGACAGAACCCCCCACCCAGGCCTCCCTCCGAGCAGGCGCCCAGCCTGGAACAGTGGGAGCTGGGCTGCCCTCCCCCACCCAGCCCCAAGCTGGCAGTGTCCCCAATCACCCTTGCAGGGCAGGTCAGCCCCAGATGCCATGTGGCACCAGAGCTGGCCTGGAGGAGGATCCCTGGTGCCCAGGGAGGCTTGGGCAAGGAGTCTGCTGGGAGCGTGTCCCCGGAAAGGCACTGTGAGTGTCTCTGAGCTGCACCTGGACCAGCTAAGGGGCGTGTGTGTCTGCTGCAGGCTGGGGCTGGGGAGGCACTCAGTGATGCCCTCAGAGAGTGGCTGATTGCCTGCAGAACTTTCGTGCTCCCCCTTTCAGCTGCCTGCCCCCAAAGCGCTGTCTGCTGGCGTTCTTTCTCCCTGGATTGCCTCCCCCCAGCCCTGCTCCTCTCTGGCTCTGCACCCCCAGGTGGGGTCTCTGGCTCAGGCTCTACCCACTTTCCTGGGCTTAGACAACCCCAGGCCTGTGCTCCCAGCCCCGTGGACCCTCATTGTCCACCCACCCTGCCCGTGCTGAGCTCTGGGAAGTGGAGCAGCCAGGCCTGATGGGCCCCTCTCAGTGCATCTGGTGGCTTCACCCTGGACTCACATGGCTGTGCCAAGCCCTGTCTGTGTCCTATGTCTGCCCCTCTTCCCATGAGCTGGGGTGGGGAAGGAAGCTGCAAATCTTGCTCCCACCTTTGAGCATGACCCTGTGGGGTGATGCTGCCTATGAACTGGGGACTTCCTGTGGGCTGGAGGCCAAACTGCCCCTGGACTGCAGGGAGGCCACTGGGCTGAGGGCAGTGCTGGCTCCGGTGGCCCCTTCCTCACCCGGGGATGCTTCTAGTGGGGCTGGGTCAGGTTTGGGGTTCAAGTGCACACATCTGGGGCAGTGAGGGGCTGCCCAAGGCAGGAGGGCAGGGAACATTGGCTCAGGCGGGAGGCCTGGCTATGAAGAGGCCAGGGGTCAGGAGATGAGGCGCCGGTCTTCTCTGGGGAGGCCTTTCCTTCCCGGGCTCCCTGTCTGGGAGCCTCAGTGCCCACAGCTTGCAGGGCCACCCCTGCCTGTTCTCAGACCTCTGGTGCTGCCAGCATGCCTCTGGCAGGGCCCCTGCTCGGCCTGGGGTGGGAGCCACCCACTCAGGTCCCACCCATTCCCACCTGACGGTCCCCTGTGGCCAAGGGCCTGTTCCCACTCCAGGCCCCAGCCGTCCACCCAGATGGAGCCAGGCCCGGCCCCCAGCCCCGGCCCACACAGAGACCACATGGAGGGGGTGCAACAGGCATGGCTCTGGTGAGACACGTGAGACAGGTGTCTGGGTGGCGGGGCTGGCAGCCAGACAGATGGACGGATGGGACATCACAGCCACCCCTCCACGGACGTCGCAGGGAGGCAGAGGGCGGCGGGCCCCTCTGGGAGAGGCTGGAGAAACGGACGTGACAGAGAGGTGGTGTGGCCTCCTGACAGGTGAGGAGCCTGGAACAGGGTGGCTCTGGGCTCCTGGGGCCCCGGGCACAGCCCCGAGGCGATGAGCCTGACTGGCTGACCAACAACATGACACAGCTTCAAGATGGCGCATGGTGTCGTGGCATGGCGGGGCAGACTGACGCAGAGACACACGGGGAGAGGACCCAGTGAGGGCCAGCAGGAGAGAGGACCAAGAGAGGAAGGTCTAGAGAGTCAGAGAGAGAAGACCTAGTGTGCTGGGCAGATAGAGGTGAGGGCAGAAGGGCCAGGGCAGTCAGCGGTGGGGGTGGTGGGATGGCAAGGGAGGGGAGAGGGCACGCCTGATGCACGGGACACAGACACGGAGGGCGGGCGAGATCAGAGTTGGAGACGTGGAACTGGGCGCTCTTCCCCTTACCGTGTCTTTGGAGGACCTACGTCTCTTGAAGCTGGAAGCCAGGGTGGAGGTGATAGCCCTAAATGTGGCTTTCTTTTTAGGGTCAGGCTCTGCTCTACCACTCTTTCTATCCTAAAATGAATATGTATAAGTGATTAGATGGCTAAGGGTGGCGGCCACACCTGCCCTCGCCTGCTCCTGGGGGGCTGCTGCCTGGCCTGGCTGGCCACTCGGGCCCTCGCGCCTGCCTGCCTCCATGTGCTGGACAGACCGACCGACCGTTGGACACGCGCAGATGGCCTCTGCTCCTGCCCACTTCTTGGGCCTGACCTTGCTTGAGTTGGGGCTGCTGGGCTTAGGGTGTCCCATTTGGCGCTCTTGCTGGGAGACCCGCCTGGCTCCCTGGCTCCTAGGGGCCCCTGGTTTCTGGGCATCCCAAAGAGGAGGAGCCCTCCGAGCCCTGAAGGGGTTGCCTGCAGGCCCCACCATCGATTCTGACCCCCAAGGAAGCACACTGAGATTCAGGAAGGGGCTGAGGGGCCAAAGGCAGGTGGCGAGATGAATTGGAGCGATAGAGAGACAGAGGCAGCTCCGGGGACACTGGCCTCAGGTCTGAGGGCCAGGATGGCCCTGCGCCTGCCAGCGAGAGCAGCGGGCAGCGGCCAGGTCCCAAGAGCAAGAGTGGGCAGATGAGAGGTGCAGGGGCTCCGGCAACCCCGTCCGCCCGTGGCCCTCCCTCTCGGCATCACCAGCTTCTTCCCAGGATGTGGGCTCTGGGGAGGCACCCAGAGAAAGAGAAGAGATGGGGCAGACGGGCTGGACCATGGGGCACACGCCCAACCCAGGTGGGCTGTGGCCACCCCACACACAGCCTGACACAGGCTGGGGTGCCAGGCAGGACCAGCCGGCTTGTTAAGACTGGAGTAGTAGGCAGCACAGGACACAGCAGGGCATCAGGGGAGGGGTCCCCAGAGGGTGCCAAGGAGGGGCTTGGGCGGCGAGGGCAGGATACGTCTTGGAATCACGTGCTACACCCAGGTGGGTCCCTGTCTTACCCTGCCTCAGTTTGCCTTCCTATGGAATGGGTGCAGGTGGGCGACTCTGGAGACAGAGGGGCCAGGCAGACGCTTGGAGCCCGGCTTTGCAGTGGCGGCCACCTGCAGGTGGCCCTCCACCAGTGCTGCCCCTGGCTGGGCTCCTAGCTCCAGTCTTGCCCACATGGGCTCCTGGGAGCCAGAGCCAGTGCTTCGGCCTGTGGGGATGGAGGAGGGCCGGGGCCAGGCCGGGCCATGGGCACCAGGCCTCAGAGGGTGTCCTGCCCTACCTGCAGGTTCTTCCTCCACACGTTCACCGCCGCGAAGGCCAGCTGCATCTGCTTCCGGCGAGCGTCCTTGTGCCTCTTGTAGGCGATCTCGATAAAGATCAGGAAGATCCCGGCCACGATGCCCCCGGCCACCAACATGAAGACCCCTGCGGGCCAGGACCCAGGGCCTCAGCTGTTGGCCTGCCAGGCTGCCGGCCCCCTGGGGCACCCGCCCAGGACCAGCAGGGGTGTTGAGCAAAATGGGGGGACTCACCTGCCATGTTCTCAAAGGTGAGGGTAGCAGGGGCGTTGCTGCGAGAATCACACTCCTGGTACCGTACCCACGTCTTGTCCAGGTCTTCCATGAAGCCGTTCTCGTGCGACCTGCGTGGGCAGAGCGTGTGAGCCAAGTGGAGTCTGGCACTGGGAGCCGGTGTGCCTTGGGCGGGGCTCAGGAGGGGGTCTTCGTGGGGCAGAGATACGGCAGGTGAGGAAGACTCACTTGAGGATGGACAGGGAGACATTCTGCTTCCAGGGGCTGTCCTTGCGCATGCCGATGCCAAAGCCGGAGCGGAAGAACAGCTCACCCGTGGTCACCAGGTCGCACTTCTGCGAGGCCTCAAACTCCAGCACCGCGGAGTCCCAGATGAAGGCATGCAGCTTGCTGTGGGCAGGGGCAGGGGTCACCGGAGCCCGAGCAGTTGGGCTGCCCCGGCTCCCTCCCAATCCTTCCTCCTGCCAGACTGGAAACCTCGTTTCTAGCCCCTGCCGTGGTTCCCATCTGGTCTGGACATTCCGACTTTTACTGTAAAGGTGTCGCCTCACTTGTCCCGCCCCGCCCAGTGCCCCTCCCCCTCACTTGTCCCGCACGGCCTGGATGGCCTCGGCCGCGCTCTCGTAGTTGTGTTTCTCCATGTGCCGGTACATGGTGCTCAGCTCCACCTGCCGCCGGAAGTAGATGTCCACCGAGCTCTGCTTCACTGTCGCGTAGATGAACTTGTCGGAGGGATTCCTCAGCTGCGGTGAGAGGCGGGGCTCGCAGCTACTCCCCGGCCCCACCTGCCGCAGCCACTGACCTCACCCCCCTCCCCCGCCGGGTCGGGCCAGGCCTCACTCGTGGGTCGTTGATGCCTGTGATGCGCTCTTCCGGCCGGTCCAGCACCAGGAAGGCCGCCAGGTTGGCAGTGTAGGAGGCCACGATGATCATGGCGAACCCAGCCCACACCATACCTAGGATGCGCGCGGAGAAGCTTCGGGGGGCGCCTGCGGGCAGAGAACCCTCAGTTCCTGGCCGGCGGAGGTGGGCGGGGCGGGATGGGCCCCGGGCATGGCCTCACCTTCCCCGATGCCAGAGTTGAGCAGGACGCCCCAGGAGAACCACATGGCGGAAGACAGGGTCAGCGCGTCCTCCTCTTCCTCCTCGCTGTTCACTTTGAACCGGCCGAAGGGGCTGCGGGGCGCAGAGGGCGGGAGGGAGAGGGCGGCAGAGGCAGCCTCGCCCCACCCTCGCCCGCTGCGCCCAACCCGCAGGTGGAGGTGTCCGGCCCCCAGGCTTCGCTTACCTGAAGCGGTCCAAGAGGTACAGCATCACGGCCACCACGTGCACTGACAGCCCGACCAACAGCCACAGCGTGCTCTGGAAGGGCTGCATGAACGAGTCCAGCGTGCTCCGGGGGATCTCCTGCGGGAGGACAGGCCGTCAGCTCCGCCCAGGCCCTCCGAGGGCCGCGCCCCACTCCGCGGGCCCCGCCCACCTTCTTGACCAGGATGGTCAGGCCCTGGTACTTGAAGGGCTTGGAGAACTCGATGTACTGCGCGCGCTCGTTGTTGATGGTGAGCGGCGCCACGATCATGTCCGCCTGCCCGCTGAGCAGCTCGCCCATCATCCCGTTCCACTCCTTCTTATTGCTGTTGTTCACCTGCGGGGCGACACAGCAGGTGGGGACTCGGACCCCGGCGGCCCCACTCCCGCCACAGGCGCCGGCCCTAACCTATCTTAGGGCTCGCCCACTCCAGACTCCGCCCCAGCTCGCAGGCCCCGCCCGCCCAGGGCCCTTCCCCTAGCAAGGCCCGGTCCGCCCCACCCGGTCCCACGCCGGCTCCCAGCGGTCCACACGCACCCGCTCCTGCGTGCCGAACTTGCCATCGGCCACCAGGTGCACCTCATAAGTGAAGTTCATGGTCCGCGCCAGCTTGATGAGTAGGTCGATGCAGAAGCCGTAACAGCACTGAGGCACCGTGTGGCGTGCTGGGGGGGGCAAGGGGAGGAGAGGTAACCGAGGCGTTCGCCGCCGCCCCGCCCCCCCCCGC